GTGAAATTGCTTGACAGGTCCGGATACTTGCCATACAACTCCAAAAGCTAGTTTTAAACATTTAGTAAAATAATAAAGTCAGATTCATGAAACTTGGCAGTCGTATGTCCAATTATAGATCAGATATATTCGTGAAGTTTGTATAGAATTGTTTCACAGGTTCGAGTAATTTCTTTGCAACATTGAAAGGTGCAATTAAATCGGTTTATACCGACTGAAATGTTTTAACCTATTAATGTTATTGTATGTATAAAACTGATATAATTTTAGCGCGTTTTACTATAAAAAGTATTGAAATATGTTTATGTTTATGTTTATGTTTATGTTTTATAAAGATAAAAATAATTTTTACTTGAGTAAAAAAATTAGAAATCAACAAATATTTTATTTACGAAGATTTTTTATGATCTTCGAAATGATTTATGACTACTTTAGATATGCGTTTTTTCAGTACACCCAAACACTTATTTAACTATGAACTTGCAGCTTTAGGACATTTTTAAGTATAGTATATAATATATCAATAAAAAACGCATAAGGAACTTATATTTGGGGATAGTATTTAGATTTTGGGAGCTTGAAAAAAATTCTTTTAATCAAATCCTTAGTACAAACATACCAATATATTTTTCAATACATTTTGTATTCAAAATTCTGACAATTGATAAGAGATGAATGTGAAGTGGTGAATAGATAAAGAATTAAAATATTACCATATTTCTACACCCTTGAAGATAGAAAGCTGAAATTCAATTGGTACCTAGATCTTTGTAAAAAAAAACTTATTTCCGCAAAAGAAAATTTTTACCCATCCAAGAATTATAGCCTGCCAATATCTTCAAAATTCCACTTTTTAACTATTTATTGTAGGGAAACCGTTAGCATTTTTAAAATTTTGCAAACACTTAAAACGTGGATGACTTGTTTCACCGCGGCAAAGCATGAGCTTTTAGATAAACTGATAAACGGTTCACTTTGTTAGAAGAAAATTTTTTCACCCTCTATCCTCTCTCAAGTTATCGCCTTTTGAAATTTAAAAAATTCGAATTTTTGGCATCTCATATATTCGAAACTATAAGTTTTTCTGAACTTCTATAAATTCCGAAAAATATAATTCTTAAAAAAATTTGTATGTAGCAGTCAATGTAAACAAAACAAAATACTCGAGTCCAGTTCGAGGAGAAAAATTTTTTAATTAATTTTTCTGTCTTTAACTCCTTCCTTTGATTACGTCATCCATCTGTTCTGCAGTCATGAAGAAATTTCCATTAAGTTAAATTATTAGTGTAATAAGCACATTCTTATTAATTTCACAGCTATGATGTTGTATTAGTAAAATTCATAATATCGAGCATTATTTTATTGCAATGTATTCAACAATGTATTCGGTATATATTTTCACTTGCTGAAGTGAACAGTGCTAAATTACAAACCATTGGTTTGACCAAACTTTATTTTTATTTACTTTTCAAAAATAAATAAATTATTTTTTAAAAAAAAATTTAATAGATTAAGTATTTTTCAAAAAAAAAAATAAAACTGTGGCCGTCGTCGGCACCTATTATTTTATTAAACACTTTATTTGATTCTTTTTATTTTATTTTTTTTGTTCCAATAGTTCGTTCATTTTATATTTGTCTATTATTATTTCAACAATTTATTAATAATTAATTTTATAACAATTATTATTTATTATTTTTTGGTTAAATAATTTAATTATTTAGTTACTACCTTCTACCATACTGATTCAAAAGCTAATAATGACGAAATTCTCTTGGAAATACAAGAAGAATTTTATGTTATACAATACAGTTTATTGAGAATCAATTCTCGAATAACTGCATTTCATATTAAATTAAAATGTGGTTGTAAAGCGGCGAACGTACATACATGCATGCATACTATAATACAAATACTTTAAAGACCAATTCTTACATACAAGGTGTTTCACCTGCCTAATATTTTTCTTAATAACATTATGCTTTAAATTGTACAGTTTTTTTAATTCGCTTTTGACTGATTTTCTCCCTGCTTAAAACACCGAAAGCTGGCTTTAATCTGCCCACTGAGACCAAAACGTTCTTGATTTTTATATCTACTACGAAATGTTTGCGAAACCTTCTCACGATCGCGAAAGGACCTTCATATGAAGGAGTAAGACCGGTTTTAACACGGTCTACATGGACAAAGACGTGAGTGCACGTATTCAAGTCTTTGGAAAGAGTTCCTTTGATTCCTTGTAAATTCGAAACGCTTCGAATTTTAGACATGTATAATCTAATTCTTTCGACGAATGTATCTTGATATGCAAAATCGTGTGTGGTGTCTCTGAAAAATTCGCCTGGAAGCTTCAAAGTTTGCCCATACAGCATCTCCGCGGGACAATGCCCCAAATCGTCTGCCCGAAATGCCTATGATGATTAGCGGTAACTCATCACTCCAATGTGCGGAAGCACATTTGGTAAAAAGACACGATTTCAACCTTTCCACCATTCTATTTGATTGTGAGTGGTAGCCTGTCGTACGAGTCCTATGAATTCCCAATATTTTGTTCAAATTTGAGAAAAGTTTAGACTCGAACTGGGATCCCTGATCCGTGGTGATTGTAGAAGGTACGCCAAAACGTGAAATGTATTGTGCAAGAAAAGTTAAAGCCACTGCTTCAGCTGACATGTCCGCTATTCGATACGCTTCAGGCCAACGTGAAAATCTGTCCACGATAGTCAATATGTAGGAGAAACCGTTTGACGGCGGAAGTGGGCCAACCAAATCCATATGTATATGTTCAAATCTTCCTGGAGGGACCGGTATTTTATCCGTCGCTGATTTAGTATGCCTTGTAATCTTCGTAAAACCATAAACCTATGTCCTTGTTCATATTTGGCCAAAAATATCGCTCAGCGACCAATTTTCTCGTTGCTCGGACTCCAGGATGGGACAAATTGTGCAATTTCTCAAAAATTTGGTGTCTTAGTGGTTCTGGTACCCAAGGCCTATTTTTTCCAGTTGAGGTTTCGTAGAATAATTTCTCCATTGACAACGGGACCTCTATGTAAGAGAACTGTAACGTGTTAGTTTTGGAGTCATCTGACGCGTAATTTTGTAAAGTATTATCTTCTTTGTGTTTCAAGATAAAATCACTAAGATTGGAATCCAAATTTATTGGCGAGTTTTCGAAATCACGTGGATGATTTCGAAAATTATCCGCTTATATGTCTAATATCAGTGCAAAACTGCGCCATATACTCCAAATATCTAGTTTGCCTCGGACTTCGCTCAACGCGCGGCTTCATTACGTGAGTTAACGGTTTAAGGTCGGTTTAGATGGTGAAATTTCTGCCCTACACAAAATACCTGAAGTGTTTAATGGCCAAATAAATAGCCAACAATTCACTGTCGAATGCAGAGTAACGAGTCTCAGCCGATGACAATTTTTTTGAAAAGAAAGAGATTGGTTGCCAGGAGCCCGAATTGTATTGTTACAAGACTGTGCCCACCGCAAAATTTTATGCATCCGCGGTAATGCTGAAAGTCGCATCATCGCGTGGGTGCGCTAGAAGCGATGCTGACGCCAGGGCCTCCTTTATCTTTTCAAATTTTACACTCTTCAGGCCACGTGAACTCAGTTTTAGAAAATTTCTTTAGTTTCTGTAAGGCTGCTGGATGTGAACATATAGGTGTCAGTAATTCGGCGAGATTTGGGATAAACCGATGTTAGTAATTTACCATTCTCACAAAATGCTGAGTCTGTTTGATTGATTGAGGTGGATCGAAATCACGAATGGCACAGTACCTCTCGTTGGATGGCCTAATGCCCACACCAGTTACAGTATGACCAAGGAAATCTAGAGTCTTAACGCCTAGAACATATTTATTTGGTTTAATAGTTAAACCAAACTTTGCTAGCCTCTAGAAAACAGTCCTAACATGATTTAGGTATTCCGAAAAATCTCTACTTGCAACTAACACCTGGTTCATACAACGCTGGAAAGTTTGAGCCGCGTTCCTTAAGCCGGAGCTCATGCGGGGAGATTCAAACAATCCGAACGGTGTGATAATTGCGGTTTTGTGGACATCTTCTGGAGCCACGGGTATTTGATGATAATATGCTCTAAAAAAAATAAACAATTTTGTAAATTATGCAAGGTAGGTTTATTTAATATTAGACTAGATTTAAGTATTTTAATTTGTAATCATGTACACGTGTATATATGTGTTGTAGTATTAGGTTAATTATATTTTTATGTCGTTTATTGTAAATGAAAATTAATTGTTATTTTTATTTCTTTTTTTTTAATTTTTTATATTTGTTATTCTTTTTTTTTTGGGTATGTTTAATTGATAAATTTCTAAAAATTTTGTTTCGGTTTTAACTAAAGATTTTTCTTTTTTTTTTAATTTTTTAAGCTTAAAAAATGTTCAATATTCGTGTACATATATGCACTAAATGTATCGTATACATGAATGCATATAAGTGTGATATATTTAAAAGAGCGCACGTAATTTTTAATCCAAATTTATATTTTATTTAAAGAACCATCTTTTGTTTTTAACTTTTTGCAATTTACGTAAATTCGACAGCAATTGTTTTCACTAATATATTTTTTATTTTTTTTTATTAATATTTATAAATTATTTAAAATTTTGCTGTACGAATTTTAAAGTCGATCACCAATGTGATCGTCGTCGGCACCTATTATTTTATTTATTGAAACACTTTATTTGATTCCTTTTATTTTAATTTTTTTTATTCCAATACTTCTTTCATTTTATATTTATCTATTATTATTTCAACAATTTATTATCAATTAACTTTATAACAATTATTATTTATTATTTTTGACTTAAATAATTTAATTATTTTAGTTACTACCTTCTACCTTGCTGATTCAAAAGCTAATAATGACGAAATTCTCTTAAAAATACAAGAAGGATTTCATGTTATACAATACAGTATTTCATATTAAATTAAAGCGTGTTTATAAGCGACATGCATGCATACCATAATACAAATATTTTAAAGACCAATACTTACATACAGGGTGTTTCACCGGTCTAATATTTTTCCTCGCGTCGCCACAAAACTATATGTTGTTCGAATTATTTTAATTTACATATGTAAAAAAAGTATTGGTAAAATGTACCACGTGTTTGATTTAATGTTATGCGAATAGTAATCGTTTTACCGGAAGCGTTTATTTTTCTTAAAGCTAGAATTTCTAATTGCCAATTATAAACATCCTTTTTCTTATAATTTTGTTGATAACATTAATCGTGAACAAAATTTTAAACATCTTTTCCTTTTTTTTCTGGACTTCGGCTTTGACTTCGTTTTTTAGATTTTTTTTTTGGACTTCCAAGAGCTTTCTTTTTAGAAAATACACTGTTTTTATTGTTATTAGTTTTAGGCAATGTTTTCGGATTAGGTGGTCTTACTTCAACTCGGCTATATAAATCATAATTAAAGTCTCCACAAGTTCGACCTTCAATAAAAAAATTGAAATATTTCAATAAAACATTATAAGTAAAAGGTAATTTCCAAATAAATAATTTATACATTATGCTTATATTTACCGTAACACATTTCTTCGCTGCATTCAGTACAAACTATTACCCTGGTTTCAATGATTCCAGACTTGTTTTTTACCTTCCTTACACCTGTATTCAAAGTATATTCCCGTTTATCTCTCAAATCTGTTTTTAATTGCAATTTTCCCATTTCAACCAATTTACTGAAATATTCCTCCTCAATTTTAGCCTTAGGTCGCAAAGTTGTTAACATTTTCCAATCGATTGGAACTGAACATAACTCCACCAAGTGTATACTACGCATTTCATTTGGTATAGGGTCCATGTAAGTATAGTTTATGTCTCGTATACCATTCTGTTTCAATAATTTTCTAGTTTCTTTACGGGGTGTTTTAAATGAATAATCCTTTTCTTTGATTTTAATTTCTTCAGAACGAACTTTAACCGGTCTCATTTTGTAATCGGGAACCTTTTCCATTAAACGCTTAAATTCTTCTTTAGATTGAATGATAGATTTACTCAAATCTAAAACTGGAACAACAGTTTTCTTTTTTCCTAAAATGTCCTCTAATTTACTCATTGTATAATTACTACTCTACTTTTCTCTTTGCAAATGATATATTAATAGTTCTCTTATTTGAAAAATCAATTCAGCCACGTGATGCAAACTAATAAATATAATATTCCGTTGCTAAAGCAATATTTACTGAACATACATAGAAATAATAGTAGAGCGAAAAATGCCCTGTTATCATTTATTTGAATTAAAATAGTTATTTATTCTGTCAAACTGGGTATTCTTTATTAAATAATATTAATACTTTGCAACAGTATATTTTCCTAAACTCACTATTAAAATAATTTATTTTTTGAGACCATTTCACTTTAATCTGTATTCCAATAATATTAATAGGGTATTTGTAATAGGGTATTTACAAACACATAGACCAATATTCATGCCTTAGTCATACTCCTATTGTATAGTCAAAACGCATTGAAAAATTAAACCATATTTTTCTTGAAGTCTTAAATCTTGAAATATTAATCACATTATATTACCTTAATATGATTAAAACATTTCAATAATATTTTGAATTTGGAATATATATTAACTTATATTGCAACTGAAAACGTCTTAATTCTCATAATTTGCAACCTTTAAAAATATGTAATCTAATAATATATAATACTAATATTAATACTTATATATAATATTATATAAGTCGCTGATTCCCCGATTCAATTTAAGATAAAATTTTATTATAACATTTTTAATTATAACATTTACAACCTTTTTGCAAGTTCGATGATCATTTATTAATATATTAGTATCCATAGTAGCAAAGTTTTCACCAAAGTAGTTCAACTCTCAAAGTTTTCGAGAAGTAATTCAACTCTGTATATACATTAATTCAATCACTCATCAATATTTGTATAAAAAAATTTCTCTTTGCTAAAAGAGTTAAGTAGCTATGTCTTCTTATTTTCAATTTTGTACACAAAGGAATTATTGGAAAAGAGAAAGTGAAAAAAGATGCCTGCCTATTTTTACCGCCTGCATTTTATACAGTAATGGTCATGGTCATGTGATAGCACCAAATTTTTGATGTCGAGTTTTTGGTGGGAACGTACTTCTAGGAAAGCATAAACTATTTTTAGAGAGGAGTCAGTTTGTCTGGATTTGATTCAGTTAAAAACCATCTTTATTGATAAACCGTAAACTATGACTGAATTTACAATTAAGTACTTATAACTAAGTTTTATAATTTTAATGTAAAATTGCTGATATCGACAAACCGTGTTTACATTTGGATTCCACCAATTTATATGAAACATAAAATTTTGCAATTGGAGTGTCCGCATTTATTTTTTTTTTTTAGGAGAACTTTTGTGTTTTAAATAAAATTTTAAATAACAGCAAGTGTTGCATCACCTTTAACAACGGTATAATAAGAATCTTCTCCCTCGTTTAGACTTGAATTCTTCTGAATTATATTAATATTAAATTGTTTTTTTTTATTTTTCATATAATGCAAATACTCCAACAAAAATTGCTATAAAACAGTATTAAAATTGTTATAATTATTAAAATATATGACACATTTTTATGATAATTTTATGATTTTTTGTACAGTATCAAAATTTTCTGAGACAATTTCATTAAATGTAATTTGTGTTTTAAAGTTTTTAAAATTTACCTAATTTCCAATCATAGGATAATAGTACCTTTTTTAATTTAAAGAACCGTTATTAAAATGAATCAATGCATATTAACTAAATGGAAATTTCTTCATAGAACTGCAGAACGGATGGATGACGTGATCAAACGAACGAGTTATAGGCAGAAAAAATTAAAAAATTTCTCCTCGAACTGGACCCGAACCAGAAACCTACCGCTTTCTAGGCGGACGCTCTGCCAACTGAGCTACAAAGCAGAACACGATTTTTCCTTAGAAGTATTATACATATATAATTCCGTAGGAGAATTCTACATATATAATTCTCCTACCTAATATTTTTTGTATTTGGCTTCTCTTCAGCTGAATGTACTGTAGCTAACGATTGACTTCTCTCTTCGTCTTGTTTATTAAATAATTTAAAATCAGATGAGTTCTTTGAGTTCGCGACTTGCGTTGCAATATTGTCATCTGAAGTATATTCTTTTCAAATTACTGTTTTCTCACCAACTTCAATGCGACTTAGAAAGTCTGCTGCTTTGTTATCTTTACCTTTAAGGTATTCGATGTCAAATTGGTAGTCCAACAGTTTGAGCAACCATCTCTGATGTGTCGGAGATATTTTCTTGCCTTTGGTATGTAAAGACTTCATAGGTTGATTATCAGTTAGTATTTTAAATTTCTTTCCGAAAATTTTTGTCTGTTTTTTTAGGAAGCTACATTTATCTGTATGTATTTTAAGATTATTTTATTCTGGAATTGAAAAAAATTCGCTTATTGCTTTTACATGTTCTTGTATGGAAGTGCTAAATATAAGAATATCGTCGAGGTATATAATGCAAGTTTTGTTTGTATGTTCTCTGAGAATTTTGTTCATTAAGCGCTGGAACGTCGCCGGCGCTTTTTTGAAGCCAAATGGCATTCTATGAAATTCGCATTGATCATGTGATGTAACGAAGGCCGTTTTTTTCCTATCTTCTTCATTTATAAGTATCTGATTGTACTCCTTGGCCAATCAATTGTTGTAAAATTATATGCCTTCCCCAATTTATCTAAATTTGCATCTATACGCGGCGGCGGGAGCTTGTCTTCCACGGTGACCTTGTTGAGTTTCCTGTTTTTTTTTTTTTTTTTTTTTTTCCTTTGTTCACTCCTAGAAGGAGCATAGGGCTAGTGCATGATTTCTCATGCACTAGTTTCATAGCGTCATAGGGTTTAACTAGGTAGGTGACTAGCCTGCCGTAGTTTTTATTTTATATATTAATTATTTGAGGTTATTAATATTTACTATTTATTTTTCTTAGTTTTTTTTTTTAATATCGAATATTAGGAATATTTGAAAATTACTTGTATAATATTTTTATTAGTATTGTATATTAAGTTATAATAATATTGAATATAATTTTTATAGTGACCTGACCGGGGTTTGAACCCGAGACCCTTCGGTTAAAGGACCGGTGCCATAACCACTGCACCAATGGTCAGATAGTTGAGTTTCCTGTAGTCGACTACTATTCTGAACTTCTTTCTTCCCGAGTTGTCCGCTTTTTTGACACTACTACAAGGAAACTAGAATACCTTGAGTTGCTTTCCTTATTATACCTTGTTCTTCTATTTCTGTGATTACCCTTTCTCCTCCTGCGATGTGTACCTTTATAATTTCGAATTTATAGCCTGATCGACTTTAATAACTTAATTGATAACTATCTTTACTTAATTAATTTACTTCATTACGCTCTTCTCATTTAAGTGATCTAAATTTAAATTATTGGATTCTACCACCTTTAGAATGTGTATTTCTTTAAACATGTAAGGCTAATTTTCCAGGTTTATACTTTGATTATTCAAAATGCTATTTCCGCTTTCTAAATTCATTTTCCCGTTTAAATTTTTTTAATATGTGCGTCCCTACAATTATTTGGTAAATACGATTTGGTAATTCTTTTACTTTCCATCTCATCAACGCATTAGGATAAGCTTTTAACTCTAAGAATGACTTCGTAAGTTATAGCGCCCTTTCCGGTTATTGTTGAAAAATGTAAAGGTAGAATTTTAATTTTTTTAAAACCGGTAACTTTTTCGTCTATAAAACTTAATGGCGACCCTGTGTCAATTAATGCTAAAAATGTTCGTACATGTATTAATATTTTTATAATTGGTAGTTCTTTCAAGGCTAATTTAAAAACTAAAACAATATTATTTGATTGATCACTGTAGTAATTATGATTTACATCGCCCTCTGGGTGGACCTGTTTTTTTCTGCTTTTTCTGGAGGTATCCCGTTGACGACTATCTTTATCGGATCCCCACTCAAATGTCCTTAATCGCAATAATGTTTATTATGTTTAACTTCGATGTTCCCTATATCCATCGGTTCAACGTGGTCGTTACCCTGATTATATTGACCTACGTTATTTCTAAAATATCCTGACCTTTGAATAAATTTTATTTGATTATTATTTTGTCTATAAAACCATGAATAATTATTTCGGTTAAAATGACTATTATTATTTAAATTATTTTTATTATTAAAATGGTTATTATTATTAAACCGATTATCATTGTTAAAATTGCATTTGAATTGATCTGAATTATTTTTAAAATTGTAATCATTAATGTTTGAATTCCTATTAGAAAAATTTACTTCATTATTATTTCCAGCAAAATTAAAATTATAATTGTCTTTTACTTTTTGAGCACTATAAGTTCAATTTGAATAATTTTCAACATTATAATTTTTTAATTACGATTGTTACTACTATTATTGGAATTATTATTTATTTGAAAACTAGTTGAAATTTGCGTTTGCCCATAATGTTCAGTGTTTCCTTTATAAGGCTCCAATTATCTGGTTCAGGGGTATTAATTATACACCTTCGCCTCACCCTGAGTTTCTTCGAAGCATATGCTCCTTACCATCAATTTTTTGAGTTCCCCGTCTTGTACGTTCGTTAAATAATATTCGACGCTACTGATAAAGGAATTAATTGTAACGTCTCCTTAACACGTAAATGTTATTATAAACCTGATCCCCCTCCAGAATTTTTCGGTGGCAAGGTTTGTTGCTTCTCTCTATTGAAAGTGTTGAACCGCAGCGGTAATTTATGTGGCCGTTTCTGCGCCACAAATGTACTTTTGTAGCGACGCGAAGAAAAATATTAAGCAGGTGAAACACCCTGTATGTAATTATTGGTCTTTAAAGTATTTGTATTATGGTATGCATGCATGTATGTACGTTCGTCGTTTTACAACCACACTTTTGTTTAATATGAAATGCAGTTATTCGAGAATTAATTTTCAATAAACTGTACTGTATAACATGAAATTCTTCTTGTATTTCCAAGAGAATTTCGTCATTATTAGTTTGTGAACAGGCAAGGTAGCAGGGTTTATAATTTAAAAG